ACGACTTGAAGCATCGCGGCTCTGAACAAGAGCTCTGACATTTGAGACGTCCGCAGCGAGTCCCAACCACCAAACGTCACCGCGTTCAGGCCAAAACCACAACCAAGCCCAAGTCATTTCACGCAGAGCCGTTTTTTCCGCTGCGTGTTGGGAAAACCCGGTCTTCCACCTTCAGTGTCAAGAGTAGCTCTGCACTTGCTTTGTGTCATTCGAACCCCAAAGCCCTGCAGACAACAGCTCCTGCAACTCCTCGCCCATGTAGCAGAGATCAGACCCAACCGCAGCACAGAACGAGCCATCACAAATAAAACCAACCTCACCGTTCACTAAGGAAAATGTGATCCTACAATTCAAGTCCAGCGGAAGCTGAGGTGCTTTCTCTGGACTTGGCATGTTTCTAATCCGGCGCAGTACAATCCAATTGAAGTTTACCCTGTGCCATTCCTGCAACGGTCTCACCACGCCTGGCAGGTCCCCCCGGGGAAGTGGGTGCTTAAGACACGAGCACCTCAGACTCAGGAGATCTGAGATCTAGTCTTGGCTCTGCCACAGATTTCCTGGTTTGACCTTTGATAAATCACTTAATCTCTCTGAGTCTCGCTCCCTGACCCGTTAAATGAGAATAAATTCGCTACCTCCCAAAGGTGTTAAGAAGATAAATCCATAATAAATTATAAAGTGTCAATTAGGAGCCAGTACTAATGCCTAAATACGACATCAATCGGGCAGTAACAGCAAGAGGTAAAGTAAAAAAGTGACTGAGACCTCCAGCAGAGGAGAAGAGATGGGTGTCCCAGGCTTAAAATAGGTGCCCAAGGGGTCAGGGGAAGGAAACAAACTTCCAGCTAACCCATAGGACAGGCTAAATGCTATATACACACCTTGGTCTCATCAGTATTATTAATTTGTGCCCAAGTACAAATTACTGCACTGTACTGTACCATCAGTATTATTAATGTGTACCTAATTTGCACCTAAGGAACAGCCCCCAAGGAAACTCATCCACCGCCCCGTGCAAAAGCAGGATTACTGTCGCACCGGCAGCTTCTCTCCGAACGCAGCTTCGATTAACGCGTGGCAAGAATAAACCTTTCCCCTTGTTTTTTCCAGCCACAAGAAAAAAAAAAAACCAAAAGCAACCTCCACAGCAAATGCAATTACCCTTCTTAAACTAAGCAGCGATTACTGCTTAGTTGGGATGATCTTAGGAAGTGCGCTGAACTCCTAAGCTTGTACGCAGAGGCGACAGCGCTAGCGCTCTGCGTCCGGGGTACAAAACTTGTGGCAGCTTCGGTCATGCTGGTTCTGTTCAGATATTTCCTCCCACTTCACACAGTGCCCCTTGCAGTAACACGGCACACGACAGACCTGCTCCGTAGCGAGCGTTAGGTGTCCTGTGTACACGAGTCTTTCGTTCCGGCGCCCAGACACGGGGCCTGGAAGCTCTGTTCCCTGCACCTGCGCAACGAGTAGCTGTTTATACCAGAGCAGGATGCAAAATGCGATCAGAACGGCAGGGTTTTGCACCTGGGGTTTACACCGGAGCAAGTGGCTCCCTAAAGTGAAAAGTGATAAGGAATCAGGCTCGCAGACCCACGGGAATCATGACATTCTCAATAATGATAAATGGGAGGGAAGCAGGAAGCAGTCTCCCCTTCTAACCCTTCTTCCTGCCCCAAAACTCATCTTCTTCCTGCTCCTAAACTCATCCCTTCACCGCAGAGCGCTTCAGAAAGGGGGTGGTTTACAGAATGACACAAATGTCATGCTGGAAAGGACCTCAAGAGTTTATCTAAGTCCATCCCCCTGCACAGTAGGATCAAGAATACTTAACCATCCATGACAGGTGTTTGTCTAACATGTTCTTAAAAACCTTCAGTGCAGGAGACGCCACAAGCTCCCTGGGTAGCTCCTTCCAGCATTTCACTACTCCTACAGTTAACAATGCTTTCCCTAATACCCAGCCTAAATTTTGGCTGCTGTAAATTAAGCTGCTTTCTTCATAGCCCATTTCACACAGTTATTTCTTGGGTTCAGAACAAGCAGCGGCAAAGACACCCAAGGCAGCAAGTAGCCTGGAAAAGAGGGAGGGAGAAAAAGCCAGTTGATGAAAGAGGAGGCAGGCCCAAGGCTCCCGTCACCTTGTCATCCAAATGCCTGACATGCCAAGGCAACGGGGACAACAGGGACGAAAAGAGGTAGAGCAGATGAGCCCAGCAGATTTGCAGAGCTGTGGGCCCAGCCTAGGCAGAAACCTGCACAGTCCCCAGGTGCGACCACTTGTCATCACTGTATTATAATAGCGCGGAAAGGCCACAAAACTAGGGATTCAAGACCCGCAGCACAAACCCAAAGCGACAGGCAGTCCCTGTGCCAAAGAGCTTACAACTCAAAATCCATGAGATGGGCAGTACAAGAAGGGAAGTGTTTAGCCCTGCCTTACCGGTGGGAACTGGGAGGAATCAAGTGAGTTGACCAAGAGCAAACAGGACGTTTGAGGCAGAGCTGGGCCCTGAACCCCAACCTCTCCAATCCGAATGTAACTGCTTCACTACCTCCTTAGTACAGTGCGCTGCCAAAATAACACACATGCTTAAAAGAAAAAGGCAGTCTAGCAGGCTTTAGCAGCCCTACAAATCCAACCACTGGTCCACCCTTTCACCTGGCTCTCAGCTCTGCTTTTCCTGAATCCATCCCTGCCTGGATTCAGCTTCTATCAGAAACAACAGATGAAGCACCTTGTGTTTGCAGCACTTTATTCACGCCACTACACAATCACACACTGTCTTGGTGCAAAATGACCCATTACCCAGAACAGAGGCCAAGTCGAAGGTCAGGAGGCCAGGGTAGTGCTGGAAAGCGGGGATCAGATCTGCCCACATTCAGCCTCATAGAAACCACCCCATTCACAGCTCCCTTTGACGAGCATCCGTGTTTAAGACTGAAAAGTCTCGCTGCACCCTCTGAACTCCTACTCGCTGCTGATAACATCTCCTTTCAAACGCTGCTGAGAAAGCAGTCTAACCTCAGACCCATGTTACTTGCTGCAAGATTTAATCTACATTTCCATGTAGAGAGAGTGCGGGGAGTTTACAAGAAATGCTTATTTTCAAGAACACAACAGGTCTCCAGTCTTTCAAAGCTTATCAGGAAGGTGGGCCAGACTAAAGTTAAAAGTGTCTGCATCTCAAACCTGAAATGACTCAGGAAGAAGATCACACCAGACAATTTATAGAACACAGAACAATCATCTGGATTGGCAAGCACATAATCTTAGCTACCATCTTGTGCACTTGGAAGTGTTAAGACATAATGTAATTTATTATATTATGTGATATTACCAGCTTCCCAGCAGCTACCAGGCTATTTATCACCGCTCAGTCTTCCTTGCAGTGATGTCCCCAGTTCTCCCTGGGTTCGGATTCATATCATTCATGAGTAACTAGCAACCCTGTAGCACAGATACTACGGAGAACAGCAGCCTGGACAATTCCTGGGCTAGAAAAGCAGATGTTCCCATTAAACCCATTTTATTTGAGGGCTTCTGGGCAGCTCTTTTTAGTTTTGAAACTTTAATGAATGAAATGCATCCCTACCCCAGCAGGATTACGTAAAAATGATGCAGGGCACATAGCTGAGATGAAATGATACATGTTTCCAAACACCCAGAAACAGAGGTGGTCCTTATCACGTCACGTATGAGCACCTTGCAATCTATAATGGGTTTTATCCTCACAGCATCCCTGTCATCTCGGAAAGCTTTATCATCCCCTTTCTATAGACAGGGAACAGATGCTCCGACTAGACCGATTTGCTCACGGCTACAAAGTGGCAGAGCTAAGACCAGAACTCAAGTCTTCTGAATCTGAATCAAAGCCCTCCATCCACTAAGCTAGTCTTTTCCTTTCTTAGGCCATCTTAATGGCTTATGAGATTCATCGTTTTTCCCAGTTCTAGTCAATTCACCCAGATATATATTTCTGTTTTATATGCATATGTTCTATTAAAAAAGGACACATAGGGCACACTAACACAGGAAAAAATATTGTTTAAAAACTAGTTTTAATCACACTTCCTGAAATTCTCTAAATAGCACAATGCGATCATCAGAAATTCTCCCCCCAGCAGATATTATCGGGTGAAATGGTTTTGCTTCTTTTAAACAGGTGGCCAGTCGGTCCCTTTCTAGTCTTAGAAACTAGGCAGCTATATTTACGACAGGCTAGATTCCTTTATACTCGAGATAGGAAGCCAGTGCCAGATTTCAAACATAAAGGAATGAATCACGCGCAGAATTAGGTGTTCACGTCGAAAAAATAAGCGATGCTGTACATGAAATCCGAAAAAACTACTTCACAGTCAGGGCGGCTAGGAGCTGGAACCAACTTCCAAGGGAGGTGGTGCTGGCCCCTACCCTGGGGATCTTTAAGAAGAGGCTGGATACTTACCTGGCTGGACTCATTTGAGTCCCGTTTTTGTTTTTAGGGTGAGTGGTTTTGTTTGTGTTTTTGGGTTGTTCTCCCGCCCTGGCGGGGGGGCGGGCTAGAAGATCTATTAGGTCCCTTCCGACCCTGAAACTATGAAACTATGAAATAAAAATGATCTCCACTGTCCCCTCTGAAAAAATATCACCTATGGTGATTGCCTGTACAATAACCACGGGAGGTGTTTAGAGAGAGCACCAGTCTAGACAGTGCACATAGTAAGCGGATGCTGTGCAACTGCCCTGCGATTAATAAGATGATTTTACTACCTACTGTGACTAGTCTCCCCTTCTGCACAAATGCAGCGGTAGCGCAGGGCAGAAGAAATGGGTGTTCTTACCAGGATTATACTGACCCTAAGTTTAGTTGCTATATGCCGGTGGCCAGCACGAAGCAGGGGCCAGGGCAAATCCAAACGGACACGATATCTGGGCGCTATGTCCACAGAAAAATTCTTAGCGTACCTCCCAATTCCCTGCCTTAAAAGTTTTGCATTGTGCCTGGTAAAATATGCACCTTGGAACGCAGCAGCAGCCGGCTGCCAGGCGGGTGCTAACAAGACTCCTGAGCTCAGCTCTGTATTGGACCAGCTTTCCGGGCTGAAGTTTTGCGAGCTTCATCGTTTTCATTTTCACTCCAGTTTTAAAACCTGGAAGCCCTCCTAAAAAGTAGGCGTTAGATGTTTTTAAAAAAACAAACCCGATTGCAATGGATTTTTTTTTCTCCCCATCCGCGTCTCGGCACAAACCTTCATCTGCTCGGTCCCGCTACTAACCTGCCATTAAAACGATTTACAAGGGACTTTTAAAGACCGATGGGAATCTCTTGCTGGGATCATTTCTGCAGCTAGCGTTTTGCTCGCCGCCTTCTGCATCCCTCCCTCGGAAATCCAGCTCAGCTCAATCGTCAGTAAAAACGGTAGGTATTTCTAACTCTTATCTTTTGAAAGCCTGAGCTTCATGGGGGGCTTTTTCCTTTCTTTCTTTTTTTTTTTTTTTTTTTTGCGGGTGGCTTTCAACCTCACGAGCCCACAGGCGCACCTTGCTTTGCGCCGCGGACTGGAAAAAGTTGGTGCACACAAAAAAGACCCCGATCCAATTTGCACATCCACATCCCAGGAGGAGAGGGGAGGAGAGGAGCGGAGCGGATAGGAGAGGATAGAAACCCAACTTCTGCCCCGGGGAGGGGGGGGGGCTGCGCTCTGGGACGATTTGGGGGAGACGGGCTGGAGGGAGGGAGCCTGTCTTTGCCCCTCGCGAGCGCGGACCCGAGCATCCCCTTCCCTAAAGCTGCCCCTGCCTTGAGAGAGTGGGGGGACCTGGTTTGTCCTCCCCTAAAGCCATCACTGCCTTGGGATGCTGGGTGGGATCCGGTTTGTCCTCCCCCAAGGCTGCCCCTGCCTTGGGATACTGGGGGGACCCGGTTTGTCCTTCCCTAAAGCTGCCCCTGCCTTGAGAGAGTGGGGGGACCTGGTTTGTCCTCCCCTAAAGCCATCACTGCCTTGGGATGCTGGGTGGGATCCGGTTTGTCCTCCCCCAAGGCTGCCCCTGCCTTGGGATACTGGGGGGACCCGGTTTGTCCTTCCCTAAAGCTGCCCCTGCCTTGAGAGAGTGGGGGGACCTGGTTTGTCCTCCCCTAAAGCCATCACTGCCTTGGGATGCTGGGTGGGATCCGGTTTGTCCTCCCCCAAGGCTGCCCCTGCCTTGGGATACTGGGGGGACCCGGTTTGTCCTTCCCTAAAGCTGCCCCTGCCTTGAGAGAGTGGGGGGACCTGGTTTGTCCTCCCCTAAAGCCATCACTGCCTTGGGATGCTGGGTGGGATCCGGTTTGTCCTCCCCCAAGGCTGCCCCTGCCTTGGGATACTGGGGGGACCCGGTTTGTCCTTCCCTAAAGCTGCCCCTGCCTTGAGAGAGTGGGGGGACCTGGTTTGTCCTCCCCTAAAGCCATCACTGCCTTGGGATGCTGGGGGGGACCCGGTTTGTCCTCCCCCAGGGCTGCCCCTGCCTTGGGATACTGGGGGGACCCGGTTTGTCCTTCCCTAAAGCTGCCCCTGCCTTGAGAGAGTGGGGGGACCTGGTTTGTCCTCCCCTAAAGCCATCACTGCCTTGGGATGCTGGGTGGGATCCGGTTTGTCCTCCCCCAAGGCTGCCCCTGCCTTGGGATACTGGGGGGACCTGGTTTGCCCTCCCCTAAAGTTGCCCCTGCCTTGAGAGAGTGGGGGGACCCAGTTTGCCCTCCCCTAAAGCCCTCACTGCCTTTGAGAGTGGGGGGACCTGGTTTGTCCTCCCCTAAAGCCATCACTGCCTTGGGATGCTGGGTGGGATCCGGTTTGTCCTCCCCCAAGGCTGCCCCTGCCTTGGGATACTGGGGGGACCTGGTTTGCCCTCCCCTAAAGTTGCCCCTGCCTTGAGAGAGTGGGGGGACCCAGTTTGCCCTCCCCTAAAGCCCTCACTGCCTTTAGAGAGCTGGGGGGGGGGAGCAGGTTTGCCCTCCCCTAAGCCACCACTGCCTTGAGAGGGGGGGGACCCAGTTTGCCCTCCCCTAAAGCCATCACTACTTTGGAATAGTGGGGGGGGGGGGGGGACCCGGTTTGTCCTCCCCTAAGGCTGCCCCTGCCTTGAGAGAGTGGGGGGGACCCAGTTTGCCCCCCCCCAAAGCCGTCACTGCCTTGAGAGAGTGGGGGCTTCAGTGCAAAGCAGGGTTGAGAGGCCACGGACAGACTCAACCCACTCGGGGCACGGACGGGTAACTCGGTTGTTCGTGGATTCATAGTGTCAGGCCGGAAGGGACCTCAGATGATCGTAGGGTCCAGCCCCTGGGCGCTAATAGCTGGGGTAGGACTTGGTGCTCTTTCTTGTTGAATCGCACCTGATTGATTGTACCCCGTTTCTCCAGTCTATCCAGGTCATTCTGCATCCTAGCCCTGCCCTCCAGTATCTATAGGGTGGCCATCATAGAGGACAGGCTAGTTGTCCTCTGTCCTCTATCGATACCGGATGCCTTGATGGCCTCTATTTTTCTCTTGAAGGGAAAGGATCTCTTGGGATCCTTTCCAGGGTGTACTGTTAACAGCACTGTTAGGTGTGCAAACATGATTTAGAAGGTAAACCCAGAGACTGCAAACAGCATCTGACCTGTTCTTGACTTCAGAAAAATAGAGGACGTAAAGGCATCTGGTTTCATATCAATAGAGGACAGACTAGCAGAAAACTGGAATGTCCTCTATGATAGCCACCCTACAATCTGCACCTCTGCCCAGCTCGCTGTCATCTGCCTTGGCAGTTACCAGACCACCTTCCTCCATTCAATAACCAAGCAGCCCATAAACAGCAACCAAGCAATTCCTTATTTCTTTTTATCAAGGAAGGGCACATGGGTTTGGTTTTGACAAAAGGAAAAAAAACCCAGCAGGTGGAGGACAGAACAGGGCTGCAAAAACTTCTTTCCCATTTAGACATTTTATAAGGTTTGCTCTAATGTCCACTGCAACAGAATTTACACCAAGTACCTTCCAGGGACCAGTTGTTCACGTCTCTGACCCTTTGATGCTCCCTGTATTCATCGATTCATAATTTGTAAGGCCAGAAGGGACCTCAGAAGATCACCGGGTCCAGCCCTCTGCACCAAGCAGAGAAGAGAACTGGGGGTCAGGGGACCCCAGCAAGGTGACCATCCAGTCTTCTCTTGAAGATTTCCATGGTAGGTGATTGCACCACCTTTGGAGGGAGCTTATTCTGGACACCCTGACTGCGAAGAAGTTTTTCCTAAGGCTGAGCCTGAATTGATCTTCCAGGAGTTTGTGGCCATTACTCCTGGTTTTCCCGTCAGGAGCCCTGGTGAACAGTTGCTCACTGAGCCCTTGATGTACTCGCCTCGGGCAGTGGTAAGCTGCTACCAGGTCCCCTCTCGGCCTTCTTTTCTTCAGGCTGAAGAGTCCCAGACCCCTCCGCCTTTCCTTGTGTGGCTTGCTGCGTAAGACTCTGATCATATGGGTGGCTCTGATGGGGTGGTCTCAGGCAGATGCAAGAGGGCTGCCTCTCTCCTTTTGAATAGTCTTGATGCTCCACTAATCTGGCCAGCCTCTATTCGCAAAGCTCCTATTTCACAGACCTGCAGATTTGCTTTTCAACTCAGGCCAGTGAAGTCCTATTTGCTTTTGCTTTGAATAATACAATCCTAGGCCCCTTGCATATGAGTAAAGCCTCTAGTTTATTTATAACTGGAGAAAAGAACGTGTGTGGTTTTCTATGTGATGGTGCACCTCCCTTTTCACAATTCTAGATCCACCCATGGACTGATCTTAAGGGCAGGAGCCAGAACTCAGACCTTCATCTTCCCAGCACTTCTGTACAGCTGAAGGAGCTTTTGGTGGGTACCTTTAAAAAGCCCTTTCCTTCTCTGTCTTCTAAGGGCAGTGGTGGAAAACACATCACTTCTGAGGGCTATTACAATTATGCTGGACAGGACACAAGACTGGAAGTCACCCTGGCATTGGCAAAGGAATGGATGGGGCATTCCTTTGCTATGCCAAAAGCTGCGATTCACAGCCAGGGCACCATAGGGTGTCTTGAGATCCTTTCCAGGGTGTCACAGGCTGCCGCACAGTGTTAGCACTGGTAGGTGTGCAAACATCATTTAGAAGGTAAACCCAGAGACTTCAAATAGCATCTGACCTGTTGCAGGCTTTCTGAGTTCTTGACTACAGAAAAATTGCTCTATTTTTCCACAGTCAAAAAAAGAACGAAAGCTCAGAGCTGGCATTTTCTGACAGGTGCCTGTAGACTAATGAGGGGTGCCTTGAGCCTATAAAGTTTGAGAACCACTGACCTAGAGCTCTGGTATTTCCATGATCTGCATAGACATTAAAGATCTCAATGCACTGGTTTGCTCTGGGGGTTTTGGCCAATTGCCCCTCCCAAGCAAACCCAGGACTGTGCAGAATGCAATGAATTAATTGCCTACCATCTTCCACTCTAGTGATGGCTGCATCCTAATGGTGCCTTAGGTAGAGGGTTTACTGGAATATGCTTATACAGGGGTAAAATAGTATCTAAAAAGGAATTGAATCCATTTACATTGCAGCATGTCCTGTCATCCCTCTGCAAAGCAGCAGGAGATACTCAGACCTGGCAGGTCAGCTTCAGGTTGGAAGAGGGATCAGTGATAGTCTGGGTATTTCCTTAGTGTAACTGGTTTATTTGCCCTAAGCACATTAATCTTTAAACAAAGCCCTTGTTCACAAACAGCACGCAGGAGAAATCCTTTTCAGAAATCTCAGCCTCAAAACCAAACACTCAGTTCCCGGGAAGCACCTCTGCCCCACAAGCAGAGACTAGAGAGACAGAAGAGAGAAGATATTTCTCTTGCTTCTTGCAACAGCTTCCCTCAAAAGAAGTAGGACAGTACTTCTAGCAAGGAGGGTGCACTGAAATAAAAGGATTCAAGAGGAATTAAAGGAGTCATCTGGGAACCCACTCAATGCTATCAAAATACCGTACTACTGGAGGGGTGGTAACGCAACAACAATTAATTGGAAAAAGCATAATATTCTATTGACGTTACAGGGGGCATAGAAGTAGTCAACACATACTTAATCCAGTTAGAATTGGGCCAAGACATGATACCAATCCCCCTCTGCCTGGCATGCTGTTAAATTCTTTCCCCAAGCACAAACACTCTCCAGGGGGCCAAATATTTTTAAACTAAAATAAATGTCATCATACAAGGGAGGGGGGTGCAATGGAACAGAGGTGTGGTCTATTATATCAAACCACTGGAGATCCATCAAGTCCAGCATGAACTATAATGCTTCAAAAAGAGATCAAGAGTTGCTTCCATTGCACAATAATGTGCCAGGACAAAAAATGTCCTTCCTGGCTGATACAGTAGCCACCCCATTCTCTGAAGCATGGCATTTGATCGCCTGCCGTTAGGTCCAAAATCTAATCCTCATTGAAGCTGCTCAGGAAATGCTCTTGGCCAGATCAGAGCCTTCCCGTACATCAATACAATTTTTTTAAATTATTAATTATCTAGTTGAGTTAACCAGCACTATTTAAAATTCCAGCGGCAATATTCAACTCTGCAGCCTCTAGCAGTAGGGAATTTCACACGCTGGCTGCATGCGTGTGAAAGATTTCCTTCTATTTGTGTTAAAATGACCTGCTATAAACTTCATCCTCCTCCTTGCATTGTGACTGCGTACACAAAAGAACAGAGCAGTTTTTACAATGCGTTTTGTAACTATAACCACATAACTTAGTCTCTTCTAAAGCTTTCTCCATTCATGTCTAAATAAAACTAGTGCAGGCAGCCTCTCCTTTTATGTAAACCTTGCAAATCCTCCAGCTCCAGGAACATGGAAGTGTAAGGAGCTTCCTGAGCAATCAAGTATGTTTATGCAGGCAACTGTTTATCCAAGAGGCTTCCCCAAAATCCCCACTTCAAACCTTGTCACACAAGCACAAGGCACAAAACCAGGAACACCAAGAATACCCTCCAATATGCCAAAACTGGGAAGACAAGGGCACTGCCGAAGTCCTGCCACTGCAGTAACAATGGCAGGGAAGGAATTGGATATTTGGAAGAGGCCATGCCCTATACCAGGGAAGGTCAAACATATGGCCCACGGGCTAAATCCAGCCCACGGAGCTGCTTTCTTGCTGGACTACTGGTGTGACTGGGGGGGAATGGCTTGCCACAGAGTGAAAATTAGTGGAAGGAGAGTGAGCAAGGGCTCACACAGCCCTGGTCGTCCTCTGCTCACTTCAGTCGCCACTGCCACAGCCCTGCCTCGCGTGGTGCTGGTACCCACTGCATGCCCCCTGATGCAGCTGGAGCCGGGGCTAGAGGCGCTTTGTGTCCATGCTCTGGTGCAGAGCCAGAGCCGCTTCCACTGTGGCAACTTCCTCGTGCCCCAGTCTGGATCTGGCCTGGGGCACAAAGTGAATGACATGCCAGCTTTCCACTACAAAAGGCTAGTAAAAGCCCCCACAGCCTGTGCCAGTCTTACCAGAGGGAAAAATTTCTACTAACCCCAAATTTTAGTATGATGCTGAACAGAACAAAACCCTCTATGGCTAGGAATCTCTCAGTTGCTTTTCCCTAGGGAGCGGGGGAAATATCAGACTTCCTTTACCTTTTCCAAGGTGCAGTCGGTACTGTCACGAAGGCAGGGTGGCTGGTGCAAAGAGACTTGTGAGGGGTAGTAAAATAGTGAAAGCTATAGTGGAATCAAGTTTGCTGTTTGCAGTACAAGGCCCATGACAGCCCAGCAGATCTGCTTCCGTTCAACAGAGGACAGTGGTGCACATGTGCACTAGTCAGTGCATCACAAGGTGGCTGGTCTACTTTTCTGTCCTTTTGTAACATCTCTTTGCTCTGATGACTGCAGCACACGGGACAAACACTTCTTCCATGAAGCTGTGCCCACTGACTCCTAATATGCCAGGCACCAGGGTTGTGTCTAATTCAAGAATACACAAGGTCACACGGTCTCCCCTGCAGCTGTGCATTGCCTCACCTTACATCTGCCAACGGGCTCTGCAGACTCCTCACACAGACTCTCTCGTACTCCTCAACATCTTCAACGAACCCAGCGACTTTGTAGCCTAGCACCATTAAAAAACATCACCAAACACCCCACGCAAATTTGCCAAAATTCGGTCAGGCTATTAACCCATTCTCCATTCTGTTCACTGTTGACTTTTGATTCTCTCTGTTTTAATGCTTTGTTAAAATCAAGGGGCAGATCCAAAATATTGACCATTACAACGTTATTGAGACACAGAAGCATGAACCATTCACAGCCACGCTTCTCGTACTGCATGTGAGCATCCGAATTCAGGACAAGCGTGACAGAGTGACTGCGCAACTGGGTGTGATTCTTACAGAGCAGGTGGATTGTTACAAACACAAGGTAAGAAGCGGGACATCAATTTACTCTTTCAGCCTCCACCGGTTGTCTCATCCATTCTATACAGGATACCTTGTTTAAGCAAAGTAAACTTTCCCCTCGGCATAAAGAGGATATTAATACTTAGAGCTGAGGTACCGCGAGGTCTGACCCAAGGCACAATCAGAACGTATGGAATACTTTGATATTCCAGGGATGCAGCGTGAAAGCGTCACATTAATATTAGCCTGTCCAGAATGCAGTGCATTTCTTTATGCTAAAGTTTCCATTTCTGCATTCAAAATAACACTGCCTGCCACAAAAAACAAAACAAAACAACAACAAAAAATTATATTTCTTATGCTTTGTAAAGTGCTTTTAGTTGCTGGAAAGAAAGGCTCCATAAAAAAAAACAAATGATGCTTCATTATATCCCTTGAGGGATATACACATTTTACAGATGAGGAAACTGAGGAAGACAGCTAATGGGATTTGTCCACGGTTATCAGAACAGCTCAAATTCGAACACAAGCCAGATAGATACAGCCCCGACATTAAATAGATGCAACTCCACTGATTTCAGAGGAGCTGGGCCCACTTACTCTCAAGTTGCCCTTGACGGCAGAGCCCATAACTCTGACTCTGCTGCTCTAACCCACCAGAAAGTGTTTGCTCCATTTATAATCCATTTAATTGTTTGCTGTTATTCCTGCGCTCTCTGAAGCTGTAAATCCAGCAAGGCAGGAGGAAAAATATCAAATGCTTTCCTACAAAAACCTCAATAAATTACTCCTACTGTTTTGCTCAACAGGCACATTGAGAAGAAAATCAGAAACATGTGAATGCAAAATAAATGTTACTGTACAATAACGTTGGAGAATATTATGTCAATACGAAGCGTCTCAGCGTCCCAATATGCATACATTGTCCACACATGCATTTAGCTGGACCATTACTGGGTTGTCACTGGTCTAATTTCAAGTTTAGAGAAATCAGAAGGTGCCTGAAGTGGGACCCAAAGTATCAATTCAAAGAAACAAAAGGGGATCAAAACTGAGCCCAAACTCCCTAGGCTGGAGCTGGATCAAAATCTTTCTAAAGCTCTAGGGACCGGAGCAGGGAGATCAGATACATTCTTAATTTTTTTTTTCAATTCAAAATAAAAGAAGCCTTGCAAATGCTGCTATAACAATACAGCACCACATGCCTATGAACACACAGGAAGTGGTTGCAAAGCCATTATAGAGCACAAGACGCACACAAAAAGCTGAGGTGCAGCCAAACACCAGGAAATGTTGAATTAAGGGTACTGTGCTGCCCTTGACCTCCTGGCATCCTGGTTAAGCTTAATATAGGTAGAGAAAAACAATAAGGGGGGGGGGTGAGGTTTCAGGCTGCTCCGTGGCTCCATGGGATGTACCCATACCACCTCGAGCGCGAGGAGTGTTGCAGATTTCCCTTCCACCGTCCAGGATGCAATAATTAGCAGTGTGGTTTGCAGACCTTACCTCTTGCTAACCAGAACATAAAAGTACAACACTAACAAGCACACAATACAAACATCTGACACTTTTCCTGTGTCTTATTTGCTTGTCTTGTTTCCAAACAGAGCTGTCACAGTATTAGCAAGTGCTTGAAATAAAAAAACACCAATATTCAGCAAGTTTCCTACTTCCCAAATTAAATGTTTCCCATGCCAAGTGTTTAATTGGTTGAGGTTTTGCTGCTGCTGCTGTACATTTAAAACTACTCTTTCTTTCCTTTTCCTCCATGTTATTCCCCTTCTCTTCCGCTGCTTAGACAGCTGTATTACAAGTGGGTAATAGTCACCATCCAAAGATGTTCCCAAGACTAACATCAGTGTTGCCAACTCTTGCAACTTTGTTAAGAGCTTTGCAAGATTTAGCATTTTTCTGTAAACCCAAGATGCATGAGTCATATGAATACACGAGCATGTCAGCTTTCCTTTCACATCTTTTTTTTCCCCCCACCCCCAAACTGTACCCTTTGTGGCTCCAGAGAAAAGTTTGACAATATGAATCAAAGTCAACGTGAAAACCCCAAAGCAGAAAGAAAATCAAAAAAGAACCCACTGTTAATTTTTTAAAAATATCTCATAATTTTGAGAGCCTCTCTCAGGACTCATGAATGCTTGGGATTGTCCATCACAAAGTAACAAGAGTCTTTGCTTCTCTATAGCAACCATGAAACAAGGACTTCAAACCACTTGACACACATTAAGCACGAGTCAAGATAAGAAATGACTGCTCAGATCAAGCTGCCGGGATCTGTGGTTTTGGAGAACACCACAAATGGATTAAAAGATGCATACTGCTATTTGATCAGTGCCATGAAAACTAAACAGGGCCGCCCGATTCCTGTAGGATGATCCTGAACTGGCCGAAAGCTGTGCACTCCCGCATGAGTGCCACTTCACCACACCCTTCACTCTGGTGTGCACATCACAATCACTGTAGCATGCGAGGCCAACAGGCTGCTTCCTCCTCTTTTTTTTTTTTAGGAACGTCAATGAAGATGCTAAGTGCATGAACATATTAGTTACACAACATATTGCTTGTCCTCTACGGTAGAATGTAATTCCTTAGAAATGAGAGGTCTGGTGTGAACATTGCAGTTGGGAACTGTTAAAAAACCACTGACTTTCAAACTTTCCTCTATTAGGAAAGAGTTATATTTTTTTTTCAAATTCAAATTCACCCCATTTTTGACCAGCTCTCCTTTAATTAGCATTTAAGAAAATTGATTTGCAAGTGTTTTGCAAGTATATGCTTTGAATTTACACTGGTCAAATGACTTATTGGAGAAGGCAATCTCACCTTACGAAGAGAGTAAAAGCCAATGATCCCAGGAATTTTCATTTGAATTTTTGAACTTCTCTCTGTAACCAGTCTTCAGCCAGCTCTGATTTGGATAGCGTGAGCAACTTCCAGCCATCTCAGGGCTGAACAAAAAAGCCTGTGCAGCAGAACTGTGAGATTATAAAAAGCAGCTTTAACCGAGACGGATGAGCAACATTTGGATTCAATAAAGGTACAGGTGCATTTCTTTACAAGTTCATTTTTCAGTGATCACTGTGGCTGCATTGACAGTATAATGTTGCTTCCATTTGTGGTGAAAACCATCCGCTTCCTCACCACCAATGTGAATTCCGATGATTAAAAGTCATATCCCAAAGTTTCTGGAAGAAACTTCTCTCCCTCCCTCCCCCCACTGCACTCTATTTTCATGACAGTGACCTGGACTCCCACCCAGAAGCAGCTGCGTGCTCCAGCAAAAACAGGAACCCAGCGCCTTGCAAAGAGCCTGCACAGCACTGCAGCTACTTGCCGGTGTGGCAGCAAATACCAGGCTTGGAAATGGCCAACGCTAAAACTTTAAAGAATGCAGAGATTGAGGGAGGTTCCCTTATCCTGAGGAGAGAGTGGATCCAAGAGATAATTCCAGTCTAGAAGCATTGCCATTGTGCAGAGCCAAACGAGGCAGAGCTACGCACAGGGCT